AATTTCAGTTGCTCATCAAATGTGCTAAACTTTACGAAGAAGCAATAAAGAATATTAAAATTTAGCAAAAATTTTTTTGGTTATGATGACAAGTTTTATGTTTGCAAAAAAAACTAACAAGATTAAACATTGTCTAATAACAGTTACATTCCAAAAAATTTATGGCAGTTTTCGACAGTATAAAGTCTTCTGGATTATCACAGTACAACATGTCGGCTAGACTTGAAGACATTCAGCTAGACTTAAACTTTTACTGTCAACTACTGTTCCAACAAGCTGTTATTTAGCGCTGATTTCAATCTGGCAAAATTATCGCTAAAAATGTTTTCAATTAGTTCTTCCAAACTCTTATTTTTTAGTAAAGCTTCTGCCAGTGTATTGTCTGTGAACGATAAGAAGAATTATCATATTTATGATACAAATTAGTTTTTTTTTAGATTTTGTTCTCTCAACACACAACTATCATGAACTGTGGTATATTACTTTTCACCGCCATTGCCGTTTGTGTATGTCACTTTTTTTCAGCAGATTCAATTTCAAAATTTTTTTGACTTGTAAAAAATATGCTGTTGTATAGCCAAACAAGAAAAATATATATAATAGTTAAATTATTAAATAAACTTTTTAAACTTAAAAAAAATTTTCTGTGACGAGGTTATATGCTAATTTTAGCAAATATTTTAGTTCTGTTCGTTGTCACAGGCAGATATCGAGAACTCAAATGAACGTGAGTGCTTAAATATATAGCGGTTATTTGTAACATTCTCTTCCACTTTTGAACAAGAATGTTTTTTATTAAATTTAAATTACTAATTTTATTTTATATTTTTTAACGTAAAATGTACACAACAAAAAAAAAAAAAAATTAAAAATCACATTACTGCAGTAGCTGTGCTGCTAAATTTAGAGAATTTTTTTGTAGTTGCTAGTTTTTTTTTTTAAGATCTAAGAGAGAAAAGGTCTTGCTCTGACGCAGTCATCGAAACCACACTTATCTACAAATATCGCAGTGAAGCTGAGAATGAGAAACGTGTCCGCATGCATCGTACAAAGGTTGATATTGAAATATTCAATAAAATTTTTGTTTAGAGAAATCATACTTAGCCAGTACTGTTTTGTTGTGGATTAAATTTGTTCGCCTGTACTCTGAATCAACTGAATAGGTCTTAAACAGCTTAATGTTAAGAGTATTTTATTGACTAGAACAGCCTGGACTGGATATTATTTCCAAATTTATAAAATACCTAAAACTTATCGCAAAAACTCCGCAGTTACCATACAATCCGTATTGGATTCATAACATAGTAAATAAGTCTTAATTCAGAATAATGCTAATATACTGTTTATATAAACTCATACTTTTGCAGATTTTGAATTTGCTGACTGAAAGAAAGGTGGATACTACAAAGTATGGAGATTATACTCACACAGTAAAGTAAGTGGTTTGCTGATACATTAGTCGCTCAAATGTTTATAAGCACATATTTTTCAGTGATTTTACAATTTGCTACAGCTTTTTGTTTGCTTCCAAAACATTTGTTAAAACAATATGGTAAGAATATGTTGCTTTTATTCTACAAACAGGTGAAGTAGAAGTGAAAATAAAAAATTTAAAGCAATAAAAGAAATTATAATTTCATTTGCAGAAATATAGACGGAAGACTAGGAATTGTATTTACGGTTGCTGACGGATCAAAATACTGTGACAACTTTAAACAGTTTTTAAACTTAGAAAAAGCCAAGTTGAAAGAGGTATGGTAAAGTTTTTTACATTCTAAGAGCCCGTTTCCAAATTTGCTAGCTATGGTTTTGAATACAAAAAAGGAAAATTTGACAATTTTATTTTTAATGATTTATATAATGGCAGTAATTCCTTCTTTCTTTTTTCAGATTAGAAAGATTGTACTTACCTGCAATTGTCAGAAGAATTATGAAATTTAAACAAAGTATAAATTGTTGCGAGCACTACTTTATCATTAATTTTTCTTAAAACCACGGTTTATTTTTTCAATTGATATCGCCATAGCAGTCTGTTCCTCAGCTTTCTTTCTGTTTTTCGTATTATATTGGATTTTTGCTGAATTCAGTAACTGCAAGCTGATTGAATAATTTGCAAAGATTGTATATGAAGCGGTAAAAAAATACATCTTCATTGTCCTGTCATCATAACTTCGGTTAAACTGCTTAACACAGTATCTGAGCAGCCTCAGAAAACTCTGTTCTCCTACTGACAAGAAGAAACTACTGCTTTGACACCACAGCATAAAGCAGCGCAGCATCTGTTAAAGTTAAAAAGACAGTGCATCTTACAGCAGTAAAAGAATTTTTATTTTTGTAAATTCTTTTTGCTTGTTCAGAAATTCAACTGGTAAGAAAAACTTTTAGTTTTATCTTTGGTAAAACAGCACTATAATTAGTGCTATTACAATACGGTAGTTAATTGGCAACAAGATAAGCAGCTTTTAACTTTTTGACCACCTTTAAGATATAGCGCAATCGCAGCCAAAAAGTGCTCGCAGTGTTCAGATTACTTATTAGACAAACTGATAATATTGGTGAGCACAAAGAATCATACTAAAAGTTGTGCCTCTACTCGACAGCCGAAAGCAACAGCTACTTGAATAAAGATTAACCGTCAAGAACAATAATGACGATTCACTTTAGGATACAAAATTCACATTAATTTTGAAAGTTAATGTTATATTAGAAGTTTACTCCAAAATTTGTTTAACTCTTTTGATTTAGCTGCATTTGCAGAAGATATAAGAAACAAAAACAAGTGCTGATAGGTTCTTTATGTTTCACGGGTTTTACTGACGTCATTTCCGATGTCTGTTTTTTGGTCAATGACTGAGGTGCTGATTATTATCGACAAAGGTAAAGAAGAATAGATAGAATAAATCGTTGGACTAAGATGCCTTCTTAAATATCATACTGATAAACCTCTACTGTTTCTTTATTTGGTCATTTTCGGAATTTCAACAGTCAAGTGTGACACAGTTTAATCCATCTTTTAATATTAATTATTTGGTACACATTGCCTTTCTGGAAGTTCAGTTCAGATTTTGGTGACTTTGACATACTATGATTTTCTTCTTTTTTCATGTTGACTCCAATTTTGACGGCAACGTAAAATGGTTGTTTAGTGCTCTCAGCAAAATTAGGCTTTTGACGCTGTAAGATAAATTTCTGTGCTGAACAATGCTGTAATTCAACTCCCAAGTGAAACATAATGCCAGTGTAACCACTTAAACGTGCAATTTGTTGTCAGTGAAAAGTAATCAGTAAACCAGTAAATGGGTTTATTGTAACCGTTAACGTGTGAGATCCGTTAGAGACGTACAAAATCTGTAAAAGTTCTTATAGTTTTTTATACAAAAAACTTTAAGTTTTTTTACAGGTTATTCGTAGTAATTTTGCTTAGATGACTAAGCGGTAAAAAAAGCTATGTATACAATCGAAAATCATACGAAATTTTAGTCTTAAACTGTTCTATTAACGTTTCTTGATCTAATGTCTAACATTTATAATCAAGCGAACAACGAAGTAAACAGTGGCCATAAATTTTTGAAACTTTATAGTTATTGTTCAGCCACCGTTACAGAAACAGACAATCGATGTTTAGTGGAAAAATGTTTGTCCAAAATTTGTTTATTGTCTAAGTTGGTATTTTGAAATAGCAGCGTCGAATTGCCCAGCATTTGATTTGCATACATCTTTGCAACGTCAGCTTGAACACCAAAAAAAAAATCTTTTTTTTGTTTTTGAATAAAGTAAAATAATCGATTGTTTTTGGTAAAAGATGATAGTTATAATGTCTCAGTAATTTCAAAAATTTTATAATTGAAGAAAAAAAATAATGTTTTCATAAGTGTTCTTAGAAAATTTGTAAAGATGAGAGCCAAAAAACGGAACAAAGAACAACTGAATGATATACGTCAACGTCGTCGTACGCATAGTTTATCTACTGAATCAGTTTACCGAAGTAATGTTGACTCATTTTAAACTTTTACACATGTACGCTATAACTGGTGTCGTCTTCCGACAGTTCATCAACGAACAGATATAAAATAGGCCAAGCAGCAGGAAGAAGGAAAGTTGTATGACTTTTCTTTGGCTTGCATTATTCATCGACATCCTTACCAAACTTCTGAGCAACTAACACCAGAAAAACCAGTTTCGTGTTCATTCTGTTTACCAAAACATTTCACCATTACTACCAACCATCACCCCATCGACCCATCTAAACCCTAACTGTCCTTTTGGCAGCTGATTTTTTAACAAACAACTTCTTCCTGTACTCTTATTGATTTCTGAAATTACAAAAAAATAAAAGCAGAAAACTGAGAAGCGTCTGCTTCTGGACCAACTGCATTCATCTTTGACTATTTAAAACCCCGATTTTTTCTACAGCTTAAAATTAGCCAAAACTATTCAACGAGCCATTTTTTAACAATAAAAAACTTTCGATGACTGTTTTGAACATTACTCTTATTGAAACCTAGGCTTCAGTTATAATAATTTGTTATTTACATGAGATAGTATTACTTCTTTTTGTAACGTTTAATAAATTTAGCTTTTTCCAGTTTTTTCTTGTTCACTTTATTTGTTTAAACTGTTTTTCTTTTATTTATTGTTCCATGTGTAATAGCAATAATATAAGCTTCCTTCCGCAGAGGAATTACTTTGTAAAGTTATTTCTTTAACTCTGCCACTTTCTTGTCATTCTTAACATTTGACTTTCGGTAAAATACTTTAACCGTTCATCAGTGTTTCAGATAATGCGATACTGCCTGTTGTTAATCTTGATTAATTTGATTTTGCTGCCACTATCGGTAAGTATTTTTTGCTGGAAAAAAAAATTTTTTTTTCCATTTTATTCTGCTAAAATCGATTTTTATTATGCTAATGAATCGCAATAGAAGATAAAATTGAAGACAATAAAAAGCTTATTCATTTGCCTGGACTCATTTATACCAATCCTTTTTGAACAGCATTCAATGCCAGCTACAAGTGATCAGGAAATACATGAAATATCGGCCGATGATACTCCACTGCGGCTATCCAGCAATCCGGCAGTTCAGGAAATAATCGCATTGAAACCTGAATCTGAGAGGACAGATGCAGATGTGATTAAACATATTAGACCAGTTGGTAAAATTGCTTTGATCGGCGGTAAGTATTCTAGAAGTTCTTTCTTTTTTTTAACTTTATAATTTTTTTCAAAACTTAGATTATATTTTTTTTTTTCAAACAAACCACCCATATCGCTCACTGTTTAGAAGATTAAGGTTGAATATAAATTTAGCCAAAGTGTTCTTTTTTGATTACAAATTATTAATACATGAATGTAACAATTTGCAACTAAGGTATGATAGTTATAATAATAATAATAATAGCATAAGTAAAAGTAAAAATAGTAGCAATAATAAGTCACTTAAAATGCAGTCAACAATAACAGATCAGCAATTAGCAGCGTTGTATACAAACTAATTGACGGGTGTTTTATTTTAATCATTCAGATTAGTTTGGTGATTAAATTTTTTGAAAATTTTTTTTTCAGATTAATTTGTCTCAGACAATTCAGCAAAAAAAAAACATTTACGACTCTATTTATGCCTTTCAAATATCAGGCAAAAAAAAAAAAAACAGCAACAAGTCTGAATCGTTGATGTTTCAAATAACATTCTTAGATCACACTTAAGTCTGTTATTTTTTGTGTTTGTTTTATGTGTACCAGGTACAAAATAATATATGTTCAAAAATAACGTTTCATATCTTTGTACATTTGGATTAAATAAATGTTTGAAGAAATTTTTTATTAGATATGTATATGTGATTGGTATAAAATATTTTTATCTTGTCTTTCCATTCACTGTTATTCAATGCTTTTACAACAACAAAAAAAAAAAAATAACTGCTTTTTTTTTTCCTTTTATTACTTCAGTTATATCAACGAAAAGACAACTAACAAGGAAAAAAAAGGAGCTGCAAAAATGTAAGGCAACAAAAAAACGAGAAAAGGAAAAAAAAAAGCACAAATTTAAAATAATAAAAAAAAAAAATTAAAAATAATTGGATTTATTTTTAGAATTTTTAAAACTTACTCAAAACAAAAAAAAAAAAAAGAAAAAGCTGTTTCCTTTTCGTATATATTTTTTTCGTCTTTATATCAAAATATAATTTGCTGAAGAAACCTTTTTTTTTTTTTCTTGATGTAATTAATAAAACTTCAGAAATAACTGTTTTCCAATAAAGGGATTTATAAATGTAAATGCAAAGGAAGAAAAAAACAAAAATTTGTAATTGAATATTTGGGCTGCAAAAAAAAAAAAAAAAAAAAGAACTGATAATTTATTTGTTATTTATTAAATTACTTTTTGATTATTTAAATAAATATTTGATGTTTTTAAATGGTTTACTGATTTTTTTGCTTTTCATTTTTTTTCTTCTATTTTAAACAAAAAAAATCAGAAAAAAAGAACGACAGTCGCAACCAAAACACTACAAATTTTATCATTTATTATTTCAAAAAAAAGAAAAAAAAAAGACCTTTATTGGTGACAATAATTGAACAGTTTTTTTCTCATTTATTTGATATTACCCCTCTATGTGTGTAAAGGTTATTTGGATTTTGCAGTCTGTCTGAATGTTCATTGTCACTGATTTTGTTTTCAAAAAAATTTTTTTTCAACAAATTTTTATTACAGAAATAAGATTTGTAAAAGTTAACCACGACATTTTTATGAATGTATAAAATGCTTTATTATTTCTATATACTTCAGAGTTTAAAAAAAAAAAAAAATCACATTTGTATGTATTAATGTGCCAACAAAAATGCAACTGGAAAGAACATTGATGGAAAATGTTAATTGATAAGTATCATTACAACTGAAATTATTTATCAATAAACTGCTGACGCAAATTGGAAACTGAATACTGCTTGAGATAGTGTTAAAAACATATTTAAACTTGTTATTTTCTGTGAATAATTTGAATAAAAAAAATGCTTTTTACTTTGGTCAACTTTTGCCTATATAAACAACTGAACAAATTATCACTAAAATGATCTGCACTTCAATAAGGAAATTGCTATTTATCAACTTTAAGGGGTGTAATCGAATAGTTTTACTAAACAAAGATGAAGTGCAAAAATTTCATAGTCAAGAATTTTGCTAAACTCTACCTGCTTAATATGCATAATAGACACGTAACAATTCCAACTTTAGTAAATCATAGTTTAATAGTTGTTGAGTTTCTTTTTTTGACACAAAAAGGGAAAAGACGTACAAAATTTTACTGATTAACTGATGTCAAAATTTTTTTTAACCGCTTTTTTATTCAGTTTTTTTTTTCATTGAAAACAGAGATTAGGTTAGTGGTTGAAAAGAAAAATTTTACAGAAATAGGTATAAATAAAGATATGGATACTTTAATAGTTTGTATAAACTTAGCTTCCTACTTATATATATTTTTTTTCTGTACATTCTTTTTTTACAGCAGTTTTTTTGCCTTTTTTTTTTTGGAGATTGAGATGAGGAATTTTGGAGGAGTGGAGAACTTAAGAGAGAGGGTAAGCACTGTTGCATATTTTCAGCAATAGCGATACATCAACAGTAACTGTTTTTAACGGTGGAACAAAAGATTCCAGAAGAAGTAAGACAGTTAGTTCTAAACCGGCAATTATCAACTGTCTACTCGACAGAAATTGTTTTCTTCAAATTACAGCTTCAAAATTGAATACAAGGTTTTTTTTTTTTCAGAAATTTGATTTTATCGACACTCAAACGACTAATATTAACTTTTGTTCCTTTACTGTTGGTTCAAAAAATATCTACAAAAAAAGAGAAAAAGCAACTGAAAATACTAAAGATTAACAACAACAACAACAAAAACTAAAATTAATATGATTGATAAACACAGATATGAATTAATTTTTTTTTT